CCTGCACATGAATAAGATCAAGTAGGGTACTGGGAGGATGCACACATACATTCTTCCTCCACCTTAAAAAGAGAAAAAAAAAAAAAAAAGCAAACCAAAACACACCAATCTTAAGACTAAATGCCTTCAAATATATAATTCTGTAGCTTTGCTGTAAAAAGATGCCCTCCTACACAAAATTCTTGTGGAAAAGGACTGGTTATGTTACGGTAGACAACTCAGAATCAGAAGGGATCAGAGCAACAAGACATATTAAGAATACAATCAATACATGTATGCAAAGTAGTTCATAACTTTCTCTTCTATTTCAATATATACAGAAAGATCAATAATGAAGAAGAGAAGCTTAACCTGGCTTCCACTCAAAATGCGCCAGTTTTGTTTTTCAAAGACCCTTAAGAAAAGATTTTAAAATCTCTTTTATAAAATTTGAAATTTATTATTATTATGAGCAACTGGTATTTGACCTTATAAAACTCCTTATGGGAACCCTGGAGTTAAAATACCAGAAGTCCCTAACAAAGTAGGTTCTGACAAAGGAAGGAAAAGAGTCTTGGTTAAGAATTATATTCAGTATCATAATAATTTATTATAAGTAGATGAAGGCAATTATGTTTTGTTCATATTAGCACTAGAAGCTATATGCTGCATGTGTACATTTAATACATATTTATTTAGGCACACATAATACAGTAAGTGAATGTAACCACACTGTGCAACAATTTGAAAAACATCAGTGCTTTCCATTTTCCAACTTACGGCCAGTTTAAAGCAGTAAATATAGGTCAGTGAGCACACAGCAAGAGGAGCTAGTCATTATTTGCCCTACAGATACCTGAACTATTAAACCTTCACCTTAAAGAAGACATTACTAAGATAAGATAGTGAAGAAAGAAGCTAGTTTGGTTTTTTTCCTCTGTTCCGAAAAAAGGAATTTGAATTTTCACAACAAAACACAATATAAAACTTGTATTGGACTTTGTTCAGTCCTTGCTGAGCACCCCTGTCTGTGCTCAGATGTTCAGCCATGATCCAAGTCTGGGTCCATAGGGTTGGGCAAACACCACAACTGGCCTGCAGCTGTCTGCAAACAGCTGTCCAGGTCAGAGCTTGCAGAACACTGGACCATCATTTGGCTGGTGTGCTCTTCTGGGCTGACCAAATCTCTTATGTCAGTCATGACCTTTTTTGTATAAATAATCAAATATTCAATAGAGTCTGACATCTAAGTGGGTCAGATCGAAAGTGAATATGATGAGCACTGAAGTAACATTCTCACAACATTTAAACAGAGGGGAAAATACCACCCACTGGTGAGTAGGCCAATGACCTATTTCTGAAGTGACCGTTTAAGTATTTTATACTTAATTCAGAATTCTAAATAAGGCTAAGAACTATTTTAAACAATTATGTTTCAATTATATAAGACAATGGTGACAAAATTAAAACTTAGACCTGATCCAATAACTCTCACTAGGTCTGCTAGTGTGGAGGAGGTGATAAATATCCACTTTCAGCTTTGAATTTCTTGTCTTTGCTCTGTGTTAAATCTTCTTTTACATTACAAAAATCCTAGTGTTCATTTTCTCTGTTCTGCCTACAGCCACCCCACCTCTGTGTTTCCCATCTGTCTACTCCCTTCTTGTTCTTCTTCAGCTACACAACTCCTTAAAGATCTGTCTTGGCTCTGTTTGCCAGTTTAACTTGGCTAGCTCCAACACTAGGCTAGAAAGCTGCAGGTAACCCAGCTGCTTGGTTTCCACCAGGCTGGCAAGCAGTCTTGCTACAGCTTTCTTAGCTTAATCTGTGCCCAGTTTCAGATTACAGGCTTTAGCTATACCTCTTTCAAGCATTAATGCTTACTTCTAACCATCTCAGTATTCAATATTGTACAATCAAAAAACTCAGTACATACTTCAAATACCAATACTAAAGAAGAATCTTCCTTACTCTCCCATCTCACTCTCCTCAATATTTGCTTCTTTTAATGGTTCACCTCTGAGGCTAAGGGCATTCTCCCTGCTCAGCATCTCTAGCCACACTTTCAGAAATTCAAATAAACAACTATGATAAAATGTTTTTTCAACCCAAAATTCAGTTCAACATTGAAAGTAAAACTCTGGTTATAACAATTTGTGTAATTTCTTAGTTTCAAAGTGAGCAGTAAATACAAGTAGCTGCCACAGTGGCTGATGTTTCATTTTCTGTACTATATCTTGGATGAAACTACAACTAGACAATATGTTTTATATTTATACCCCCTAAGGATATAAGGAGTCAGTTTCTATTCTTTCAACTGACAAATTCTGTTCTAAAGAGTAAATTACCAAATTCCTTTCAACAAAGGCCAAACTGAATTAGTCCAAGAAAACTATGAACACAGAGATATTCCAGTCACGTTGTTTACCTAATACACAGCAAACCTGGGACAAGAGTCAAAGGCTGATAAAGGCATTTCCAGGGAAGAGGTTGCAATACTCAGCACTAAAGCACGTTACCTGAAATATAAATACAAATTCAGAGCTAGCCACCATTGTGACTGCTTCACTGGACACATTACTTCAAAAAAGGAAGGCGATCAATACATTCTGTTGTCCCAAGATACAATTCATCTTGGACTGTTTGGGGCACAGTTAAATTGCCACGACTACATTAACTTAGCCTTACCAAACAGAAACTTTTTCTGTAACAACTTTGTGCTGCAACTAAAAACCATTATTGCTTCACAGCCATTAGGAATAGGCAAAAATCTCAGTTTATCCTCATCACAATTTCTTTTAAACAGTGGCAGAAACACTTGCTCCCCAATGCACGGTTTTGTGCCTTTGATGACTCCCGACTACATAAGTAATGGCACTTGACCCTACTGAATTGCATAATCTTGCTGAGCAGACTGTTTGGAATGTGACATCAAACACAGCCAAGCAGTCCTCTCCCTAGTCACTTTGTTGCCTACTGATATTACCAATCATACAGTACTCTCATAAACTATAAATGTATATGAGAAAACCTGGTCTCAGATCTGTGCAAAACCCCATGAATAGTGAGCCACATGTGAGGGTTCTTGCAATATCAATACGCAACTTTTCAGTGTCTGTCACTAAATAATTTTATTTAGATCCTGAATGCTTCTCCTTATCATGAGTGGCAAACTCTGCTTAAGTCAGGACATCCACTATTTTTTCCTTACTCATAATATGCTATGGCAGTAAAACAATAAATGCATTTAAGACCATTCACTGTCTTAAAATCCATGTTGACTGATACCTATGAATATGGGGTAGGGGAGTCAAAGGAGGGCTAAGTTTTACAGAATATCAAATAAAAAAAAATAAAAGACAAAAAATCCACCTATTGAACATTTAGCCTACAGAAAATTGTAAGCATAGAGCACATCTCTAGCCTTTAATCATGAATGAGCACATCTTTAACCTTTAATCATGAACATGGGTATCAAACAACTGTATGTCCCAAAACTTACTGCACAGTCCTAGAACATGATTGCTCTTTACAAGAAGAGTTAAGAAAAAAATGGACTGACATTTGAAAAATATGACTGCCAAAAGAAGAGTTTGGCTTTGCTTAAATACATTAGTCATTTGAACATTTCTTTAAGAGTTGAGAGGCCTAGATTAGTTTCCTCTACACCTTGAGAAGACTGAAGCATGCAATTCTTACATCAACACAGAGTATTCCAACTGCAAGTCTATGGAACAGCCTAGGGGAATCAATTTTTAAATCCTTCCTTGAAGCTCTCTATGTGGGGAGAATGTGAGGTCACTTGGCTTGCTCAGCCTAGAAAATAGCAGACTGAGGGAAGGGCTCATTGTGGTCTACAGCTTCCTCAGGAGGGAAAGCAGAGAGTCACACATTGATCTCTTCACTCTCATGACCACTGATAGGACCTGAGGAAATAGCACAAAACTCTGTAAGGGAAGGATTAGGCTGGATATCAGAAAAAGGTTCTTTATTCAGAGCGTGTTCAAGCCCTTGAACAGGCCCCCCAGGGAACTGGTCACAGCACTAACCTGGCAGAGCCCACAAAGCATTTGAAATGCTTTCAGACACATGGTGCCATTTTTGGGTTTACCAAAATGCAGGGCCAGGAGTTGGCCTTGATGATCTTTGTGTGTCACTTCCAACTCAGGATAGTCTATGATACTACAATGACAAGCAAAATACTCAGCTGTAAATGAAAGGTCTTCTCTTTTGTCTCACTGACCTCAGTATGCATGTGCATTTCCTCTCCAGCTTGTATTTTAACAGAAGTATTTGTACATATGTATATAAATAGCATCTCATCCAATAACATACAGTGAATGTATACTTTTTGGGCAGATGTGTGATGTGCTAGAACAGTAGTAGAGTCACTGAGTTTTCCGTCCTATGCTTTGAAACTTTTACATTATTTAAAGAAATAACACCACAATTTGAAAAAGTCATGAAACTCTCTCATTTAGTGCAAAAATAATCCTACTTTGCTGAGAGTCATAGAACATTTCTTCTGGCCACTAGCTGTCCTTCCAGCAAGACGTACACACTCAAAGGGAGCAAATGATAGGCCTAAAAAAGTAAGTGACTAGATCACCCTAAATACCAAAGATATTCACACACACTCAGTTGGCAGACATTGAAACATGGCATAAAAAATTACATTGTATATCACTTTAATGTCCTGAAAAATTCATCCTTCTAAGAAATGTCTTAATCTGACTAAGGAAAGGCTGTTACCAAATATTCGATTTGTTCATACTCTGCAGCTGGGCTGTGAGAACACCTAGGGGTTTTTAAACAATGAAACCACCTGTTCAACTTATTATAATATATAAATATAAATAGCCTAGAGCACATGGCTCCTCAAGATAAAAGGTATAAGTGCTATAATTCTCTCATTACATTGTGAAGATTGGAATCACCCAGCTCCTTATGGTTACAGACAACAGCTAATCAGTTAATCAAAGATAAACAAACAACTGGATGTCAAAAGTCATTAAACCTACCTGACAGGCAGATGTACGTTAAATATTCACCCTGACCCCCAGTAGCTAGAAAAGGAATCTTTTTTTTTGTTCTTCTTTTCACTTGAACAGCTCCCAGCATCCTTTCATCATGTGGGGCAAAAATCTCTTTGCTGATTGCAGATTTGGCATTCATTGTAGATCACAGGTATAGCAGACTGTTACTCTCTAAAAATGAAAACATAAATATAAAACAATGTTAGAAACTCTAAAGTTATATCAAAGTCCACTTAACTTACTCAGGCATTACAAACTCTGACCTTCAAAGAAAGTTTTTAATGCCTCAAAGAATTTAGAAAATAATTTCATATTCTTAAAGGCAGAATTTTCAAAGTACTTGAGTGTCTTCACTGAAGTTGTTCTCCACACTTCTTAAATTTGCTTATGCAAGCTTAGCTTATTTTGGGCAGAAGCACTTGCACTTCAGTATATTGCAAAATCTTCTCAGAGAAACACCCTGTTTAACTTCATGCAACATAAAAGCTTCATTAATTCCCCCTCTGATAACTGAAGGAAACTCAGATCTGTGTCCCACATACACAGGGGAAGCACTGCAAGGGCATAGGGAAGGAGCATCATGATTGTGCTGGCACACAAGAAATCATGTTCACAGAGGACAGAGAAAGCTTCAGACTTGGTGAGACTGTTCTTCAGAAGCACTGCTCCTGGTGACAGCACTTGACTGCACAGCTCTTACACCTCTTGCAGCTTTAGCACCTCATCCCCTCAACTCTGGAATTACTGACTGGGCAACTGCACAGGAAACAGTGTCAGAGACACCATCGGGGTCAACGCAGCCAAAACCACACCTCTACTTTTGGGCTGCGTAATTTTGACCCAGGTCAGTTCCTCAACGTGTTTCGTAACAAAACAGCACAGCTGACTTAGGAGAGACATTTGTCTCAGGAGAGACATACACATTCGCAGAGGAAAAAATTATTGTAGAGAACAGGGAGGGAGGAGGGAAGCTGCTTAGTCACGCACATCCCAAAAAACAAACCTCACTGCAGCTTGCAGAAGAGCCTAAGTAAAGGAGGGAGAACTGAGAGGGGGCATGAACAGGTTCTTTGTGCAAGCTGTAACTCCAATTAGTTCTGCACTGATGTCTTGTAACACATGCACAGGCCCCCATTCATGGAAACTGCTGAATGACACCTTTAATTGTCCCAGTGTAATGACACTCCAATGCACATACATTAATTTACACATTTCTGTATTATGAAGACTTTCAAGCTGACAGATCTTTTTGACCTCCTTAGCTTTCTTAGTACGAAGATGATTATACTCAGGCCTGAACTACCTGATAATTCTGCCTGTGGGATCATTTGATATTTGTCATAATTTAAAATAAATGTAAATAAACTACATAATCAAATTATATTATGAAAATGAGATTATTAAGAGAGTCACAGATCCATTATTTTTTGTGTGCATACTACTAGCAAAGTAATTGCCTTAACACTTTCAGTCTCAACGTTTTGTTGTCACTATTTATGACATTCCCTTATCTTAAAAAATGGGAAAATTTTAAAAAAATAAGTACACAAGAGACAGCACAACTTAGTCCAAACTGAATTCACCACTTGCTAATTTTGGGATGCAAACAGAATCCTGTGCCAAAATAATCTGTAACAGTATACTTCAGTTAACCAACACAGAGTAATTTGAATTCTGACATGTTTTAGCACCAGGTCATTTACATGAATCTTTAAAAAAGTGAATTGGATTTAAAAATTGTCTCCATCAAAAGAAAAAACCAGACCACTTTCAAGGGAACAAAGAATGCGTAATTCCTGACAAGGTGTGATCTCGTAAGTCCCAACATCTTAGTTACCTATCCTTTAACTATGAATATATCTACATGAAAACAGAATCAAAAGAATCAACTTACATGTAGTTACTTAGAAAAAAGTTGTGAAAAAATGTGTTGTTTTCACATTCATCACATACTTCTCTCTTCTTCTGTGTTATAGAAATATTTGCAAAGCACATCATACCGGCATTTAAACTGCTGGGACATTGCAACTAGCTTTTGGGTTAATTTTTATTTCTTTTTTTAATTCAAGGCCACTGTTAACAACAATGGATTTAAACACACAGACCTCCTGACTGAGCCAGAGGCTGATAATCTTTGCAAAACCCAGTCCTTCATGTGCCTAAAGAATTTTCAATTAATAACTTTTTGGGAAAACACTCAGAAGTGCTGTCAGGTTAAAAGACATTCAAGTGACATTCAGCTGAAAAAGTGCTTTCCAGAGTGCAATGATCTGATGCTGTTAATTCTGCAACTCAGTTGTTGAATAGATGTTTTCAGACATTTTCTTAGTGGTCACAGACTGCAAAATAAAATATGACTTCAAAGATTACTCAGGGATGTAAAGGCTTCCTGGATTAAGAGAAGATCCAAGTTTTTCTTACCTACAGTATCACAAAATGTTAGTGGTTTATTGCTGCATGCTGCTACTGGCTTTGGCATTAAGCTGGTTTGTATACATTTACCAGAAGCTATACACAGACACAGTAGGTGGACTGTGACTGGAACTTCCAATCCGAGTGTGGACTCCTGGCTTCAGAGATTGTGATCCTTCTGTTCCCAGAACTTGGGTTGACAACAGCTTCAGAAGCCATATTCAAACAATTAATCTAAGACAGTGTGTACCTGATACAACTGCTAAATCTGATGTGAAGACTGACACTAACACAAACCACAGAAGCCCATTTATTTAAAGAAGAAAATAACTAACTGTGCCTGTGTACAAACAGACTTCTGAGATTGAGATGTCAATATAGTTTAGATGAAGTTATTTTTCATAGGTCAAAAAATCAGCAGCTGAATTCAAATAAGCAATCTTCTCCTATGCAATAGTATTTGTATGCAAAAGCCCTTTGTTTAAATAAGTAAAGCCTTCCAATGCTCCCTGTATTCACAAGTGGAGATAATACAATCTCTGGCAGTTTTACTTAATAATAATAATTATATATATATATATCTCTACACACTTCCTCAAGGAACACGAACGAGTCTCATTTTTTCCTGTTCTCTAACAAAATCCTTCTTTTCAACAAAATCCTTCTTTTCATTAAAAAAACCCCAAACCACTGCCTCTACGTGCACAACTTCATGTTGTATATGCATATTTCTTTGCATAATTGTGTTTTCTCTTGGTGCACATTCCAGGACATATTCAAACCATCAGCAGTTTCCACTCAAGGCCCGTATGAACTCATGCACTGGAACACAAACTTTTTCCTCCCATTTATACTCAGATACAAAATAAAATCCTTAAAGAAACTTTGCTGGAGGATCTCTGAGCACTCTCAGTGCATTACTGCTTGCAAGATTAACCCCTTGGAGGTAAGGGGGACTTAAAGGTTCCAGAAACCTAAGAGTTCAGAAAGAGAGACCACATTTCCTACCTCACATGCTTTGTTACACATATTTACTTCCACTCAAATTATTATACTGATGCTTTTGGCTAAACAAAGACCCCATTTTTTCTTCTGCAATTTTTCACTCCACCTACTATAGCATTATGGAACAGGATGTCAGCATTTACACAGTGCCCCCAGCACACAGAAGAAACACAGAGAGGAAAGATTCCTGTGTGGATTTGAAAAAGTGCCTGCAATGCGCTGCTCATTTGCATCTTCTCACATCTTTCTCTACTACAGTTCTTCTCCATTATATTTCTATCATTAAAAGCTCCCTCTGTGAACAGCTGACTATTCCTCTAGAAGTATGTGAGGGGGCAACAATTAAAGGCAATTTCTTAAAAAGAAGATTAAATAAAACCAAGATAATTAAATTGAATCCTTAATACATCCTACATGTTCAACAACAACCAAAAAAATGGACGGTTTTCTGGTCAGCCAGAATCTCAGACTGTTTTCAGGCACACAGCCAGCAAATGGCTAATTTACACCCACATGTTTCATAGGACTCTATGCAAATAAGTGGAAAAAAGGGGATTTACAGTATCTTTGTTGAGGGTATACGTATGCAGAAAGGAAACTAATCCTCAGCATGCAGAATTCAAATAGGAGTAAATTACAATACAAAGCAAGAACTGGAAAAGGACATAAAAGTTTCCAAAAAAAAAGGAAAAAATGTTCAGTATGCTAAACCTGGCTGTTTTCAAGGATCTTTAGTTTAATCACAAACAGGGATGGGCTCCCAGAACAGGCTAACCACTGAAATGCTGCCTGCAGTGTGAAATCATCTGAGCAACCAACTATTCTTGGAATAGTAACTCTAGCAAGCACTCAAATCTGCTTTTAATAAAGCCACTATCCTGAAAGATGACATCTACTTGAGGAAATCATTGCAAGACACTGTTGCCAAAAGAACAGCTTTTGCTATTGCGATAGTTGCCTGGTATTTACTTGCTGGAAGTGTTTAAACTACTTTGAATACTGCAGGTCATCAAAATCCTGTATTTGCTGTCATCTCAAACAAATAGCTAGTATAATTTGAAAAAAGCAAAAACAACCCATTTAAAACCCAAGGCAACTAATTTATAAATCTTTAAAGAACAAATATTAAAACATACACGTTTTAAAAGTTGGCTTGCAATACATTTATTAAGTATAACTTTATCCTAGAGGAATAACACCAAGTTTAATTAGCTCTGCAAACACGGACCAAATTAGTAGATCAACCTTATTCTGAAACAGTCAAGGTAAAATCTTTAAAATGCTTGAACATAAAAAAATAAATCAGATCATCTTCTGTCACCCTATTTTCAAACCTAACTTTGCTTGAAAGATATTTATTTAAATTAGGACAATAGCAGCAGCCACTGCAGCAGCCAGAAAAATTCCATTACTTCCTATTAACATGGGCTTACGACTTTTAGAAGTATTTACTGAAAAAACCTCAATCATTCTCCAGAGTTATTTGTGGGCTGTCAAATTTCCAATTTATTATTCCAAATAACTTCTCAGCTAAGACTCGTTCATTTGAATAATGTATTAATTCCAAAATACGAAAATTATGAAATTGGAACTGTATTTGTAGCAGTTCAAACTAGAAACAAGAAGTGTGTTTTCACTTACATATGTAATTACAAAATAAACTGCCCAGTTAAGCTGAATAGGACATAAGCAGACTTCAGAGAGCAGCAGCTCTTTAACGCAAAACTTGAATGTTACATGCTAAAGTGGTAACT